TTTTTTCACAATTTCTGGTGTTAGTGTGGATTGTAGCCCGGAGACAGAGGATACACTCTAGTTAGGGAGAACAGTGTCATGGCCTGGAGGGTCTGGGGGAGAAGCAGATGTTTTCAGATGAGACGTGTGTGAAAATGATTTGACTGTAAAGCACAGTACAGTTGTCTCTTGAGGTCATTTATCTAATTTCTGCCTGAATTAAAAAATCTATGGTGTTTCCCAGAAAAAGACATAGAGTTTGTTTTTTTTTTTAATTCTGCAGTTAGATTTTTTTGAAAAATTTATAAAAGGATTCTGGTTTTTCTTTCTAATTGACTTTTAAAATGATATAGGTGAAAAAACTACAGCAGATGCTAAGGCAAGCTAATGACCAGTTAGAGAAGACAATGAAAGATAAGCAGGAACTGGAAGACTTCATAAAGCAAAGTAGCGAAGATTCGAGTCACCAGGTAAGGGAGGGTTTTTAGAGTGTGGCCCATGAGGGATGACTGAGTTATTTAAATGAAAGATTCAAAAAATAGAGTCATGTTTCCTTTGCCTTCAAGATTTGGCAGTTTTATTTTCCCTCAGGTAAAACGATTTCTTACTGATCATTCTGTGATATCTGTTTTACAGATTTTTAAAGAATAACTTTTGAAATAATTGGTCAGTAAACGCCAGGAGGCTCTGATTCTCCTTTCCTTTTTAGTTTGTATTAGTTAGGTTTTCCTGCTGCACTGGAAACTTGCTGACCAAGATACTAATTATTTTCTTTTAAACTTTGTAAAAGTATAGCAACATGAAAAAAAAAATAGCATATACAGATACACCAAACATACCAGAACCAACATCTGTGTAACCACCATTGAGATCAAGCAATAGAATATTAGCCAGTCCCCAGAAGCCCTCACTTTCCCCGCACTTACAGCTCCCTCCCGACAGGCAGCCACTGTCCTAACTTGTAACACCATCAGATTAACCTGTGCTTCATGTTTAGAAAATGAAGCCATACAGTCTGTGTTATTCTGCGTCTGTCTTCCACCGTTCAACAGTGTATTATTCCTACTCATGATGCGTGGAGTAAGTTTGTTTATTTTCATTGTTGAATAGTCATACCATTATACGGATATGCCACAATTTATCCAGACTAACGTTGATGGGTACTTCAGTTGTTTCCAGTTCTGGGATACTATGAATAATGTTCCTTTGACATTTTTGCATAGGGCGTGGTGGACGTGTTTCTGCAGGATTTGTAACTGGGGTGGAATGCTTGGGTACAAACGTTCAAAATGCCACATAGTTTTCCAGAGTGGTTACACCAGTTTAACCTCCACCAGCAATGTATGAGCGTTCCTGTGGTTCCAAGGTCTTGAAAAAACGTCATTTTGTTATTTTAATTATAGCCATTTCGGTGGGTGTGTAATGGTATTTCATTGTGGCTTAGTTTGCATTTCTCTAATGACCATTGAAGTTATTTAGCATTTTTCATGTTTCTTGGCCATTGTGATATTGTGTGTGTGAGAGATTCCTGCTCAAGTCTTATCCTCATCTTTCTATTGTGTTGTCTGTTTATTTTACTTTTTTTTGGTCTCTAAAAACTGATTTGTTAGGTGTCCTTTATATAATCTTGTTAGAATCTTTTGCTGACAAGTATTGCAGATGTCTTTTACTTAGTAACTTATATTTGCTGTTTTTTGTTTTGTTTTTGAGATGGAATCTCATTCTGTCGCCCAGGCTGGAGTGCAGTTGCACAACCTCGGCTCACTGCAACCTCTGTCTCCTGGGTTCAAGCAGTTTTCCTGCCTCAGCCTCCTGAGTAGCTGGGATTACAGGCACTCACCACCACACTCGGCTAATTATTGTATTTTTAGTAGGTTTCACATTGTTGACCAGGCTGGTCTTGAACTCCTGACCTCAAGTGATCCACTCGCCTTGGCCTCCCAAAGTGCTAGGATTAAAGGCGTGAGCCATGCACCTGGCCCATCAGTAGCTTATGTCTTCGTTAATGGTGTCTTTTAATGAACAGAAGTCCTTAATAATGTCAAATTTGGGCGGGCGCGCAGTGGCTCACGCCTGTAATCCTAGCACTTTGGGAGACCGAGGTGGGCGAATCACCTGAGGTCGGGAGTTCAAGACCAGCCTGACCAACATGGAGAAACCCTGTCTCTACTAAAAATACAAAATTAGCCGAGTGTGTTGGCGCACGCCTGTAATTCCAGCCATTCGGGAGGCTGAGGCAGGAGAATCGCTTGAACCCAGGAGGTGGAAGTTGCCGTGAGCCAAGATCGCACCAGTCTGGGCAACAAGAATGAAACTCCGTCTCAAAGAAAAAAAAAATCAAGTTTGTTAATCATTTCTTTACGGTTTGTGATTTTCTTCCTTTTTAAAAAGGAATCTTTTCCTATGGAGTTAGGAAGATATCCTACATTATAGAGGCTTTATTCACATTTATATCTAAAATTCCTTCAGAACTGACTTAGACACACACACACACACACACACACAGTGTAGATAAGGGTAAAACTTTTTTTTTTTAAAGTATGGATAGCCAATTTCTGTATGACTTGGTGAAAAGATCCACTTTTCCCCCATTGCTCTGTGTGGATTAGTTTCAGAACTATGGTCTGTTCAGTTTGTCTGTTTGCCTATTTTTTGTGCCAAATTCTACACTGATTTATGTGAAATGAAATTTTCTTCTTTTTTTTTTTTTTTAAACCCAAGACAGAGTTTCGCACTTGTCGCCTTGTCGCCCAGGCTGGAGTGCAAGGGCACATTCTGGGCTCACTGCAACCTCTGCCTCCCAGGTTCAAGCAATTCTCCTGCCTCAGCCTCCTGAGTAGCTGGGAATACAGGCGCCCGCCACTACATCCAGCTAATTTTTTAAATTTTTAGTAGAGATGGGGTTTTGTCATGCAGGCCAGGCTGGCCTCGAACTCCTGACCTCAGGTGATCTGCCCGCCTCAGCCTCCCAAAGTGCTGGGATTACAGGTGTAAGCCACTGCACCTGGCTTGATTTTTTTTTTTTAAACATCTTTAAACATAGCTCCAACTAGGTCACGTGAGTTAGTATCTGCCTAGACACCCATAGAATGCTCTCTGTTACTGTGTGGCTGCATGTGACTCGGGCTTTGGCACTGCCTTGTGTTATCCGAAAGGCCAAGGCTTTGCACACAGCAGATGTGCACACAGCTGTTGGATGATGGTGAGTGGTTACCATGAACCAATAAAATGTCAATTCCAGACACTAAATACTTACAAGATAGAAGAGTTAGTTTCAGAATAACCAATTTCCTAACTATATTTCTATGCATTTTTTAAGATCTCTGCACTTGTCCTAAGAGCCCAAGCATCTGAGATCTTACTTGAAGAGTTACAACAGGGATTTTCCCAGGCAAAGAGGGATGTTCAGGAACAGATGGTAAGTTTACTTTTAAGTAAATGATAACTATGTTACATATATTCCTTTTTTGTTCTATCTTTACATCATCTTTGATAGGAATTTATCATCCTGTCCAAAGTAGTTACTGTGGTCTTCTCTCGGGACTGTAGAACATTAATAATGGACAAAATATTGTAAAGACATCATTCCTTTTTTAAACCTACTTTCTGGCCAAACAAAAATTTTTCTCATCGTTTAACTTATTTTTCTGTTCGGGAAACCTAAACAGAATAAACTACGGACCTACATTTAATTTTTAATTCCAAATAAAAGCTAAAAAATTGAATGTCTGAGAGCCCTAGCCGGTACAACTTTTGACCAGTCATTTTGTGATTTTCCTGGATGGCTAATTTATTTAGAATAACCTTATTAGGGCTGGGCACAGTGGCTCACGCCTGTAATCCCAGCACATTGGGGGGCCGAGGTGGGTGGATCACAAGGTCAGGAGATTGAGACCATCCTGTCTAACACGGTGAA